TGGGGGCGGACTTGGGCTCTGGGAGTAGAAAACCCTCCAGAGCTCCTGTTGGGTGGCTTTGCGAGAAGGGGCTTTCTCAACCTTAGATTAATCACTGGGGTGATGGATCTCTTAATGACAAACAAGTGTTTTGCCAGTGTGCCGCAAACCTCCCTGCCCCCCCAGAGTCACTGGGGTGCCTGTGCCTGTCCTGGCCGCCCCCCCCCCCCCCCCCCCGGGGAGGTGTGAAGCATCACCCGTCCTGCCCTTGCAGGAGGTGGTTCCTGAAAAAGGTGCGAATGGTTGCGTGTGCTTTCTGTTGGCTCCTATCTCACACAATTGGCCTGATTTATCTGGCAGCAGTGGGAATGCCCAGTGACTTGCACGCTATTATTTCATATATCCTTTATGAGGAGTTGAAAAGCTGCACGTAGGCTAAGGGAGGCGAGTTGCATCCCATTAAGCGCTGTAGTGCTAATCTCATTGTTGCACTTTTATGGCTTTTCCTATTTCCTTCTGTGGAATCAGCCTGTAACAGTGACTTTAAGAAAGTGGGAGCCTCTCATCAGTGGTGTCTGTATGACTCACTTCCAAATGTGCCCTTAAAGCTGCTGCAGTGTAGCTATATTGTAGCCAAAGAAAGCTGATGTGGGACTGTAGTTAATTCCTGTAAACTGCATCCACCTGAGTGGTCGGGGAGGCTGCTGTCACCGCGCTGGCAGCCCGGGCTGGGGCTCAGGGGGAGGAGGGCGGCAGTTACGGCTGGGCTGGGATGGCTGTGACCTCCTGGGGTTTTGCAGCCTCACGCTACCCTGCTCTGCCGTGAAACCTGGAGAGGCCGCGTCCCTGGCTGGCGGTGCGGGTGTCTAGTGAAAGAATGCCGATGCTCTTCGGCATCACATTTTTCTCATTCTGAGGATTTCCTGGCGGGCACGGGATGTCCTGGGACCGTTCCCGAGCACCGCTGGTACGGGGAGGATTGGCTCTGTTCCCTGGCAGAGCACGACTTGTGCTCGGGGCAGGGCTGTGAAACCCTGCACAGGGCCTGAGAGCCCCCCGTCCCTTCCTGAGCTGGGGGGGCTCAGCTGAGCCTGGGGGACCCCACAGCCGGAGCTGGGGGAAGCCCTTCCCCTAGGGATGGGGGCACGAGCAGAGCCTGGGGCTGTCAGCAGCAGCACCCTTGCTCTGTCCCAGTGCCTCGGAGCTGGAGGGCAGGTACTTTGTACCGTAAGGGCTGCACCTTTTAAGCTTATGCCTTTTGTGTGAGTCCTGTCAAACCTGTGTGTGAAACTCCCTCGGCAAGGCTGAGCCTTTCTGCAGGCCTGCAGCTCCCCGGGTGAGGCACGGTGGGCCATGAGCCAGCCCCTGCTTCCCTGGGGATGAGCTGAACTTGGGCTGGCTAGAGAGGGGCTAAGGGAGCTGTGCCTAGGGTGGAAGTTGGTGTGAGCCCAGAGGGCACCCGTAAGAGCTGCTTCACTTCATGTTCTTGTAACCCACCTGCAAACGCCCCAGGTCTGCCCGCAGGGTTTTGCATCGGGGGCTCTGGTATAGAAATCAGCCAGGCTTTCTGCCTTGGTCTTGTTGGTAGCTTAGGCTTGACTTCACGCTTTCTCACACCAGTAAGACGCTTGGTCCTTGCTCAGACAGGCTGAGCATCACTGGTGCTAATAGCCAGGGCTGGGAGCTTGGCTGGTGACTGTCTGTAGGCAGAAATAGCTGCCCATCTTTCTGGTTGTTCCCCTTCAAGACAAACCCTCCCCGCGCCCACCCGCTTGGCAAGGCGGCTCGCAGCCTTGCACGGCCCGTGGGAGCCGTCCTCGGGGGGGCCCTGCACAGCCCGAGACCCCCGTGGCGGGTGTCCAGGGAAGGCTGCTGGCCGCCGGCGGGCGAGTGGGCTGCTCCTGCCTCTGCAGGCCGGGGCTCGCGCGGCGGCGGGGAGCAGCTGCCGTGCCCCGTGGCGTCTGTCTGTCTGCGCGCCCGGGTTAGCTCACCGGGCTGGCAGACCGGGGCACGTCTGAGGGTGCCGCTGGCTGAGAGGTGCTGAGCGGGCCGGGCCGCTGCAGGGAGAAACCTCGAGCTCGCCCGTGCGGGCTGCCGGCCTTGAGCAAACCCTGCCCGTGCTGCTGACCTGGCCTCACCCCGCCAGCAAACGCCGCGGCTGAGCAGGACCTCAATCGACTATTGTCTTGGTGCAGAGCCCTTGCAAGCGCTGGGGAGTCACGCAGGCCGTGTGCCACCAGGTTAAACCCTGGCTATGGGCACTCGCTGGAATTACAGCTCCATGCTTAATGCTATAAACCCGCTTAAAACTGGCAAAAGTGGTGTCTCATTAGCTCATAACAATCCCCGTTTCATCTTGCTGCTTCTAGCCAGAAAAAGACCAAATTTGAAGCTATAAAGCGTTACTGGCTGTAAACAGCTAGCGATTGCCAGCACCTCCATCTCCCCAGCAGTAAGAACGAGATCTCGGGTTGGTTTCGGGCACCAGGAGGGATGCTGGGGATGCTCGGGTGGACAGATGTCCCACGGGGGTGTTCATGGCCCCGTCACTGCAAACTGAGGTTGGGAGCCTGGGGCGAGGAGGGGTGGATGTCTTTCGACTCCCTCATTTGGATAATGTTTCGGGATGTGCCTGGTGGGCTCGGGTGCTCGCCAGGCTCGTGGGGAGCAGTGTCCCCCTCTGGCGTCCCTCCCTTCTGCGGGGGGCTCGAGGCGGGAGCCCCCTCAGGGCGTGGGGTCTGGTGCTGCTCGCAAGGGGCAGCTTCGTGCCTGTCCTGCCTGGTGTGGGCGTTTGCTGGCCGAAGGCTGGGTCCAGCTGATAAGGGCACGAGGAGCCCCAGTGGCTATTGTACAGCAGGGAGGTCCCGCTCCAGGCACGGCTGCCTCCCTCTTGAGCCGGGAGGAGCAGGGCAGCCTGCCCGCAGCCCTGCCGAGGTGCTGGCCGCGCCGATGCCCTGCTCCCTGGGAAAGGTTTTGCAAGCTCACACAGCAGCAAATGCCAGGAGAGAATATCCCCAGAGTGGGAAAGCCCCGAGCTGGAGGGATGTGCAAGGGGAGGCAGAGGTGTGTGGTACCCGGGCAGGGAACGTCCTTCTTCCTCTGACCCTGAAAAGCAGCGGTGTGAGGATGCTTTCATAAAGGGCTTGCCCCAGAAATACTTTGCAGCGCTTTATAAATGTGAGCCTCTGTCTTTCTGTTCTGGAGTCCTGCCAATCTGGGGCTTTTAAAAGCGCAGCAATTTGCCGCATTATGTAACTAAAAGTCTCAAAATCTTCCTGTTCCAAGCCCCTCCAGAGAAGGGATAACAGCGCTTGTGCGTAGGACCTAGGAGATGGGAAGGGTTTTAGTTTTCTGTGGGATCTGTTTCAAGGTGATACAGTCCTCTTTGCCTTAGAAGCCTCAATTCCTGCTCTCGCCATTGCTGTGCAGAGGAGGGTTGCTGTAGGCTACCCATTCCTGTGGATTAGTCAAGACGTTTACGGGGAGCAGATGTGATACTTGCAGTCATTACTTGGTCTCATCAGTCTTAATTACTGCAAATATGGTTATTTTATTTCCTAATAGGGCAAACTGTAGCTGGCTGCCTGGCAGCTGTGAATTTGACTTCCAAACACGTCTTACATGTTGCAGCTCTTCCAAAACAGAGCTGTAAATGTCATAACTATGTTCTGGGTGTTGTTTTTTTCTTTCCCCTTTTCACAAACTGGAGGGAAGCTTTCCAGTTGAACTGGCTGCCTTACATGTGTTTTTTTTCTCTCTCATTTGAGACTATTTCTGTGTGGGGGCAAGGAGGAAATCAGCAAGAAGCCTTAATGCGGTTGAAGGAAGAGCTTTCTAAAACTGGTCTGTCTTATTAAGGGTTTTCAATGAGTCAGGGAAAAATGTTGTGGCATGCAGAACTCATCATGTAAACCCTCTGGCATCAGGCTTTGGGAATCTTGCTTCACGGTCTCAAGCCCTGTTCAGTTCAAGGTTTTTCACTGTGCCTCAGCAATGCAAGAGAGGTCATGTCTAACCGGCCAAAAGTCTTTTATTTTATAAAGAGATGCCACCTGAGCACCCGCAGGAGGAGGAATGCTGCTTGCAGGGAAAGAACAAATAGATGAACCAAGCCGCAGTAATGTTGGTGCAGCCGAGCTCCTCAAGAGCGGTGGAAGAATTAAACCTCTGTGTGTGTCTCAGGAGCAAAAGGGAAAAATCCACAACACCTCATCAGCACCTCCCAGTTTTGCTTTGGATAGCTTTTATTGCCAGTAGTTTTAATTAGTGCTAACAAGTAGATTGCATTCCTTGCTGGTAGTTTTTATTGCCAACACCTGGTAGTCTCATAGTTTAGAAATATTTCAGACAAATCAGTATAGTTAGACGGTGCTGTAAAGCCCGCTGAATGCTGTGAAAGCTCAGTATGACTCAAAAGCAAAAGGTGGCTGGAAACTCCGGTGTGCAGCCCGCGCGGGGAAGTGATGTTAAGCAAACCCCAGCGTTCGTAGCGGCTTCTCAGCAGGAGCGTGGTGGGCGGGTGGGCTGCTCCCCGCACCGAGGGGCCCGCTGAGCCTCTGCGGGGCCTGGCACGTCCCTCCCCGGCGGCCGGTGCCAGGCTGGTGCCCGCGGGCCTGTGCTGGCTCCGGGCTGAGCCGCGGGGGTCTGCCTGCAGCCGGACCCTGGCGTGGGCTCGGGCCCCGGGGGTCCGCTCCGGGAGAGGAAATCGGCTCTGCTGGCTCCTGGGCATAGTTCAGCCGTGGACGTGCCCTGGGCAGCGTCTTGTAAATGATTCCTTTGTTGGAGTGGCGGGGTGGCTGGGATCTGCTCGTGACGGTCATGTGTCGCACTGGCTGGGATGCAGAAAAATACCCTGCCAGGGAAAAAAATCGGTGTCTGGGTCGGCTAAACCAGCTTACAGCGGCTTACAGAAACCGGGCTCCTGTGTTTTGCTTCCTCTTGCCCTGTGCGGGTCCGAGGCATCACCAGAGCACGTCCGGGTGTCGGGTGGCTCTGGCAAACCCGGTGCCGTATCGGGTGACTTTGCCGCCGGCGCCGGGTGGGAGCGGGGGCTCCCCACGGCTTGGGGCCGCCGGCTGCGCTTCAGCTGGGACACCCGAATCCTGGCCTCGGAGGTGCAGCCGGGTGACACGGGGCGAGCGAAAACAAGGCGGGCACCCAGAGCGCGGTGCGGTGCGCCGAGGGCGCGAGGGGACGCGCCGGGTAGATGCTGGCATGTCAGCAGCCGTGGAGGAGATGGTAATCGCCGTGAGCCTGAACGGGTGCATGCTATAAATAGGAGGTTGCGTGCCTCTGAGCCAGCACATTGCTTTGAAGTTGTCGCTGCGCCTGGTGTGACCTGGGGGAGCTCTGGAGAAAGCTCTCCTGCTCGAAAGTGGCTTTTTCTTCAAGTGGAAACCTAAGTAGCAGAGCAGAGAACTGCGGGGTGAGGGGTGGGCTCTGGCAAAGGAGCCCCATGTCCCTGCCTTAGCTAATGGCACTTAATATGGGTGGGGGGGATCTCTGGGTGTGAGGCTGGGGAGGGCCAGAAAGTGTCTTCTGAAATCCACAGGGCACACAGGAGTTCTGGGGACTAGAGATTCCTCTTGCTTTGCATATTGTGAACCATGTCTGAGCAGCTGCTCTAGTTCCGTTTCCTCCCTGGGATGGCTTGTGCTGTACTCTGCTGCCTGAAGCAGCCTTATTTTTCGAGTAACCACAGCTCCGGGGTGTGATCAAGCTGGGCAGCAGCTGCAGCATGGGGGGGATCCTGAGCTCCGAATTGCTCCGAACCAGTCTCTCTAAGGGGGTTCCACACTTTGGCAAGTCTGGATGCCATTTCCCCATTTATTTTGTTTTCTAATCCCTTCTGGTTTTGAGCTTTTAAGGTGAATTGTTTTTATGCTCGGGTGCTTCCGTGAAACTCGTCGCAACCTTTTCAGTAGGGGAGGAGAGTTGGGCTGCAGCTGGGTCCAGGGGTGCCCTGCTGGGACCAAGCCCCCAGGGAGCTGGACTCTGCCGGGGCTGCTCGGGGCAGAGCCCCCTCCCTTCCCCAGGCAGCATGCGGGAGCCTTCCCCAGCCCCTTCTCAGACCAAGCTCAGCTGCAGCCTGGGACCTTTGGGGCCGTGATACCTGCCTGCTCTTTCTTAGCAGAAACGGAGGTGTCCTGGCTTGTGTGTGTGGACTTGCTTCCCCTGGTGTGTCTGTAGTTAACAACCTGGGTGTGCCGCTCCTGCTCCGGGTGGCCTGGGGCTTCCCGAGGTTTCACGGTGTGCCGGCGCGGAGCTGGGATCGATCGTGTTCCTGGGAAGCTGCAGGGGCTCAGCCCCGGCCAGGCTGGCCACTGCCCTGCTCAGCCCTCCGCAGGGCCAGCCCCGTGCTGCTGCTGGCAAGGACATGGCCTGCTCATCTCAGCTTAGGACAGGGTGTTGTGTCTTGAACTCGTTGCTTATAAATACCTGCTGGCCAGGGCTCTTAAAAAGGCCAGCTGCAATCCGAGCATGCATTTTTGGGATGGCCTGATGAGGCTAGTGTGCTGGCGAGCCCGGAGCGCTCGCCTCGGGCATCAGCTCTCCCGGAGATGGTCCGGGGCACTGGTGCTGTGCCAGCCTCGGGAGCGGGGCTCGAGCCGTGCCGCTGCGCGCCAGGGAGCGGGGATGCAGCCATCTGCTCTCAGCTGAGGCCGTATTCTGTCCTTTGCAGATCTTTGAGTCTCAACTGAGTCATCACCAACCCGGTTCAAGATGCCACCGGCCATCGGAGGCCCTGTGGGATACACTCCTCCTGAAGGAGGATGGGGATGGGCCGTGGTCATCGGAGCCTTCATCTCCATTGGGTTTTCCTATGCATTCCCCAAATCCATCACCGTGTTCTTCAAAGAGATTGAGGTCATCTTCAACGCATCCAGCAGCAAAGTCTCATGGATCTCCTCCATCATGCTGGCTGTTATGTATGCAGGAGGTAAGTGGACTGGAGGCAGCAGTAGGCGTGCTCGTGTGTCGCAGTGCAGGATGTGGCTCTCCTGCTGGGTCTGATGACCTGCACCTTGCTGTAGTGACAAGAGCCAAAACTTTACTGAAGTTGGAATTCCTCCTTACGTGAGAGCAAAACTTCCCTTAGCGAGTTTGCTTGAAGGACGTTGCTTAAAAAGTTCTGTTTAATGCCCAGAATGCAAAAACCAGGTTAATCTGTCCTCTTCTGCAAAGCTGTAAGTAAAACCTTTCCGGGGACTTAGAATTTGTGTAATTCTGCCCTTGTCCTTGTTAGTGTGCTGCAGGTGCTGTGTCTGCCCCAGTGCCTGCCCGAAGGCCAGGGGAGCTGCAGTGCCACACCTAGGAGTCCCACCCACAGGGTGTCTTTCTTTTAGATGAGACATCAATTTTCTTTTTTATTTTATTTTTTTTTTAATCCAGCAAGCAGTGGCTGTATCTAGGAATCTGTCTCCAGTTTCTGGTCTGCTCTGATGGCTCAGCTGTGCTCAGTGTACTGAAATCTGGCGCTGCCTCTTCCTCCTTGCTGGTGCCGAGCAGCTCGTGCAGTTTGAGGGTGGCAGCGTGTGCTGGAAGCAGAGAGACATGAGCAGAATAAAGCAAAACTACTTAAACTGATGCAGCTCCCCTCCCCCAGCTTTCAGGAATGGCTTCTTGGAGTCTTCTAATCCCCACGCTGTGCACTTTATGCTTGTCTGTAACGGGCCAGGAGCAGGCAGAGTGCTCCCTGTGGGGCGATGCGCTCCTGGCCCTCGCCCGTCTCCAAACCCCGGTGTCTCGTACCCGCCTGCAAACGCTGCTTTGCCCTGGGTCGCTGGGCTGAAAGAAACTCTTATTGGGAGCCTGCTGCTGCGGCCACCTCAGGCCGATCAGAGCTTGTGCGCTGCCGTCCCCGGCTGGCGAGCTGCCCACGTCCTCATTGCATTTGTGCATCGAAGGGAGCTGACGTCAGCACCCAGCTAAGCACGAGGCTTTTCCTTTGGGGGAACAGGCTCTGCTTTGTCCTCGCTCAGCTAGCGAAGCGACCAGCACATTTCCCTGCTCTGATGTTATAACAAGCTTGTAAACCGTGTAACTGCCTTAATGAGACTCAATCTGGGCCATTCCTCCTCCTAATAGCTCAGAGCTGCTTCCTCTGGGCACCCCGGGGGGGGTGGGGGGGTGGCACTGCCTGGGGCTGCCCCCCCCAGCCCCTGCCTCCACACTGACACCGTCTCTCCAGCTCCCCTTGAAATCCCAGCAGGTCACTGGTCTTGAGCTGCTTGCCCGTAAGCTGGGGGCAGGGATGCTGAAGGTACCTGGGCCTGCCCAGGGGCAGCTCCGGCTGCCGGAGCACGGGAACGTGCCGCTGCCCCGCTCGCTCGTTCCAGGGCTCCCGCAGCCTGAACCCGGGTCCTTGGCAGGGTCTGAGCTGTGCTGGGGCGGTCACAGTGTGCATCCTATTCTAGGGCACCTTCCTGCGGGCACTGCGCGCTTGCTTGGAGGCAGAAAGTGGCTCAGGCACAACGTCCTGGGCTGATGGTATCTTGCAGAGCCGGGCAGGTCCTGTCCCAGGCAGCGCTGGGGGTGGTGGAGCAGCACATCCCAGCCCCGTGCAGTCACCGTCAGGGTACATGGATGTAATGATCTCAAATGCCCCTTTCTCAGCTCCATGTTGGGATTACTTACACTTTTTTTTCACAGCATGAATAATCAAAACAGATCAGCTAACATCTGGTTGGAAATGCTTCATGTGATTCTATGAGATAGGAGTGGGTGTGAATTCTTGAATTCTTTTTTTTTTTTTTTTTTTTTAAAGCGGGGAAAAAAAAAAAAAAAAAGAGGGGTGGGTGGGAATTGCCACCAGGTTACACAGTGCTGCCCAGGCAGGCAGCTTCCTGCTAGCTGCCCTTGGAGCCGGCTGCTCCGGGCTGGATTTCCCGGAGGAAAGGCTGCTGCTGCCTTTAGACTCTGTCCAGGGGCATCGTGTTTGTCAAGTTCAAGGTACAGGTTTTGCAAAGTGCTGAGTGCTCTGTGGGGAAGCGTATGGAGCTTGGGGTGATGTGGCAGCCCCCAGGCGCTGCTGCCACCTCTCATGGGACCCAAGTGGTGGCTCCTTCCCGGTGGCATCAGGTCTGAGCTGCTGGTGTGGGCACGTAGTCACCAGGCCAGCTGTGGAGAGCGGGATGCTGCGGGGCTGGGGCAGCCTCTGTGGCAGCAGGGCTTCTGTAACCACCTCCAGGCTTTGTTTAAACTGGGCAAAAAGGTCAAGTAGCGTCTGAGGACCCTTGAACAACATGTTGACAACCTTGCTATCTGTTAATGGCAAAACTGGGTCTGTTAATATTCAATGGATGTTCATTCAGTTTATTTAAATACATTTTAGTATCTGTAGAGCATGCTTTGCAGTATCTAATCACTGTTTGCTTTGGATTAAAGCTCCTGATAATGAAGCACTTAAAGGCAGGTGTGCAGAGCAATTGGGCTCTTCCTGCCTTAAGGACAGCAGTGAAAACAGAAGCACCCCTTCTCCCCAGGGCGCGGGTGCTGCTCCTCCCACGAGCCCTCCGGACCTTGGCTGTGCCCATCCGAGCTGTTCCTTCACAGCTTTGGTCTTGATCAGAAACCCCTCGCTGGAGGCCGGCTGCTGTGTGCTCGCTCTGCTGCCGAGAGCCCAGCCCGTGGTGGGCGGGTGGCCGGGGCAGGACGGAGCCCGCAGAGCAGAGCACCGCGTGGGGCTGCTGGCTTCACCCCAGCCCAAAGCCCTGTCCCTGGGGGGCAGCTGGTGCCCCGGCAGCTCCTGCTTTAGCGCACGGAAGGCAGCTTGCTCAGAGAAGGCTCAGCCTTCTGTGCTCTAACCAAATGTCACACTTATCTCTGGCTGCCTCTGAACTCCCGTCCTTTCCCCTTACCCAGTTCCCTCACTGGGTGAAGCGTCACTGGGTGAAGGCTAGAAGCCCGTGGCAGCGAACATCAGTGTGCTTGCGTGCATCTGCCTCGTCTCTGCAAAGAGAACTCATCCCTGGGTGTATGTCCTTTGACTCCCTAGGTCCCATCAGCAGCATCCTGGTGAACAAATACGGCAGCCGGCCCATCATGATCGCCGGCGGCTGCCTCTCCGGCTGCGGGCTCATTGCAGCCTCTTTCTGCAACACGGTGGAGGGGCTCTACTTCTGCGTGGGGGTTGTAGGGGGTAAGTGATGGCTCTGCCCCAGCGGGGTGCGACGGAGGTAAGGCCTCTCCTGAGGCAGCAAGAGGAGTAACTTACACCCAGTAATGATTAGGGAATGTCTAAATCCTGATTCCTGTTACATATATTCTGATAAGGGATGGCCCTGGTGACATAACGTGGGGAGACTGTGCTGGTGACAGTACGTGGGACTAGTATTTGGTACTGAGAACAGAGAGCATCTGTTACTCCTGCCCCGGGTTAGGGCTGTGCCCTGCCAGTTGACGTAAGGTTTGTCACGAGCCGGGGCGGTTCTCCCCTTCCAGCTCCCCAATTCCCAGGCGCCTCTTCCCAGGTCGGCGGTGGGGGCCGAGTGCTGCTCCTGCACTTGGGAAGTTAATACAGCCAAAACGGAGCTGTGAAACCCCCGGAACTGAAGCCCCGCTCTCCTGCCCGGCCCACCAGCCCGTGTGCCGGTGCTGCTGGCTTGTTGGGGTGCTCGAGCTGAGCCCCTCCTCTCTCCTCTCCTTCAGGCCTCGGACTCGCGTTTAATTTGAACCCAGCCTTAACCATGATCGGCAAGTATTTCTTCAAGAAGCGTCCCCTGGCTAACGGGCTGGCGATGGCAGGCAGCCCTGTGTTCCTTTCCACCCTGGCACCCGTGAACCAGCTCTTCTTCGGCATATTTGGCTGGCGCGGCAGCTTCCTCATCCTCGGGGGTCTCTTGCTGAACTGCTGCGTCGCTGGGTCCCTGATGCGGCCCATAGGCCCCAAGCCAGATCAGCTGAAGAAAGAGGCTGCGAAGGAGGTGCTGCAGGAAGCCGGGAAGGCGGTGAAAAAGGACGACAGTGACACCAGCACAGACCTCATCGGTGGGAAGACCAAGAAACAGAAGAGCACTTTTATCCAGACGATCAACAAGTTCTTGGACCTGTCTCTGTTCACGCACAGGGGCTTCCTGCTCTACCTGTCGGGCAATGTGATCATGTTCTTCGGGCTGTTCACTCCCCTGGTCTTCCTCAGCAATTATGCGAAGAGCAAGAGTATTGCGAATGAGTCTGCAGCCTTCCTGCTCTCCATCCTGGCCTTCGTGGACATGGTGGCCAGACCTTCCATGGGACTGGTGGCAAACACCAAGTGGATCAGACCCAGAGTCCAGTACTTCTTTGCCATCTCTGTGATTTACAACGGGGTGTGCCACCTCTTGGCCCCCATGTCCACCACCTATGCCGGCTTCTGCATTTACGCCGGCTTCTTTGGCTTTGCCTTCGGCTGGCTGAGCTCGGTCCTGTTTGAGACCCTGATGGACCTGGTGGGAACGCAGCGGTTCTCCAGTGCCGTGGGCCTGGTGACCATCGTGGAGTGCTGCCCCGTGCTTCTGGGACCCCCTTTGCTAGGTGGGTGTGCTGTGCCCGGGGAGCTCTGCCCGGCCTCGCTGGCATGGTGGTGGGTCCCCCCGAGCCACGGGCAGCCCTCAGCACCGGGGTGGGGGCGAGCACTGGTCCCGAGGCTGCTCCAGGGTCTGGGAGATGGCCGAAGAAGTGGGGGCTGAGCCCTTGGCACAGGGTGGGGGAGCAGGGGCTGGAGGAATAAAGGCCTGAAGCTGAGGGTGATGGGCCTGGGCTGCTCTTGGGAACGTGTCCGCAGCCTGGAGCAGTTCTGGGGGTATCTTGCTAATCTGTCCCCTCTCTGTCCCTCAGGGAAGCTCAACGACATGTACGGTGACTACAAGTACACGTACTGGGCCTGTGGAGTCATTCTCATCATCTCCGGGATCTACCTCTTCATCGGGATGGGCATCAACTACCGCCTGGTGGCAAAGGAGCAGAAGGCGGAGGAGAAGGCGAGGAACGAAGGGAAGGAGGAGGAGACCAACGTCGACGAGGCTGAGAAGCAGAAAGAGGCAAACAACGACGTGGCCCCCTCGCCCCAGAAGAGCGCGGAGGATGGTGTCAAAGAGGAGGAGAGCCACATGTGAGGGACCGGTCTCAATCCCGGAGTGTCGGGGAAGCGCCGCTGCCCTGGCGCGGCGGCCGGGGCAGCGCTCCGCCGGCGCTGGGCGGCCGTGAGAAGTGTTTAAACCAGGTGTTCATTTTTAACCAGGCTCTGAATTGTCTTTCCATCTGTGTTCAACAAAGGTAACAGGGCTACACACACAGTATCCTCGTGTGTCGGGGGGCAGGGGGGCTTTTTATAGTCTGGCTTTTTAACAGTAACGTGAATGTACTAATACGTGCCTTACAGTCTTCATATCTAGCTGAATCTGGATGAGCCTTAACTCTAAACCGTGCTTTAGCTCTGTATTCTGCTGGGGGGGGGGGGTGGTACACGTGTTTTGGGGAGTTTTCTTGTTAAAAAGCCATAAAAAGCAGGATACTGGATTTGTTGAAGCACGATGGGCTTCAGGGCCGGCCCCGATGAATACTGCTTCACACGCTTCTTACCGCAGGCCCTCCGCAGAGGGGGGATCCGGGCACGGGGCAGGCTGGTCTTCGGCTCCCATGCCCAGCGCCTCCTGCTCCGTAGGTGGTTTTTAGGTATGTTTTGAAAACACTTTAGTTACTGTAGTTGTTTAAAATCCCTCTTTCGTAGTTGTGCTCTCACGGGATATTCAGGTTGAAGGACGGCTGCAGTTCACGTTGGGCAGCGTCGCCCGCTCCGGGGCCGGCCCCTGCAGCCCAGCCCTCCCTGGGGAGGGTTGGGGTCCCCCCAGCCCCCCCGCTCTGCCCTGCCAGTGCCTCTTCTCAGCCCAGCGCTGGGTGATGTGAAACGGCTGGCGGTGCTGGGTCGGTCCCGGGGTCCCGCCGGAGCATCCCCGTGCTGCTGCGGGCGTTGCGGGTGCCTGACCCTGGGCAGAGCCGGGGGGCTGGGTGGGGTGGGGGGAGATGGTACATCCCTGAGACAGGCCTTCTGCTTTCGCTCTTTCTTCTCTTAGAGAAACCTCTTTTACTTGCTTCTGTTCAACGGAGATCTTAAGGCAGTGGATGCCTAACCACTCACATCTAGGACACGTAAGGGGGAGGAAAGAATTTGTACGTATTTATTTTTTATTTTTTAGTGCTGGAAAATATCTCAACGTACGTGGAGCAGGTTAATGGCTCTCAAGTTCTAGTAAATGTTGATCAGAAATAATCTAAGAGGCTGAGTTTTTTTCAAATAAACTTGTTTTTTTTACAATTTACCCATCAAATGTTGAAATTATTTCCTAGAATCGCACTTCTGCATGCCAGAAGACATGTATCTAGGGCCAGCTTTGGGGAGAGGCGAGTGGGGCTGTGGCAGAGCCTGGGTCTCCAGCACCCCAAGGCTCCCACTGAGCGGGTCCTGCTGGCTGTGGAGGCTGGTTCCCCTCCCGCGAGGGTGAGCTGCCCCTTTCCCACTGCCTCGGCCCCAAGAGGAGGCTTTGGTTGGGGTTTGGGGTGGCCACAGCCCAGGCTCCCCATGCACTCTGGTTCTGGAGATGATTCTGTTCCCCTGCCCTTTACAGGCTGCCCGTGAACACCTTGGGATCCCTCTTTACTGCAGGGGGGATGGACACACACTCAGTGCCTCTTTCATGAGCGATGGGCAGGCTCCTGCTGTCTGTCTGTCCGTGCTGTGTCCCCCCGGGAGCTGAGCTGGGGCCTGGTGGTGGCTGGAACCCAGCGAGGGGGTGCACGGGGGTCTCCCCGAGGGAGCTGGGGGGTCCCTGGCAGGGCCAGACCCCACGCTGTGCCCGTGCTCCTTGCAGGGCTGCTCTGGGCTTTGTTTTGGTCGCAACCTCGCAGAAAGCAGGCCAGGGTTTTTTCATCCTGTAGAATAACTTTATAAAGCCAACAGAGTGTTTTGTGCAAAAGGATTTTATTGTACAGTGCCGAGCTGTGATACAGTAAACCAAGTAATTGTGTTTTCATACATGTTTCAGGCTGCTGTTTGCTCCAGGCCATGGTACCAGCACTGCTGACACAGGCGTTACCGTAACCAGCGCAGCTGGGGCAGAGCGCCAGCCCCTTTTCTAAGGAAAAAAAGTGTTTAAATGATTTCCTGCCGCTCGGACTTGGCTGGCTGGGAGCACGTCGGTAGTAAATCCTCGGTTGTTTTCCAAGGGTGGCCTCTGCGCCCTGTCCCCTCCGTGCCGAGCTGTCGGGAGCTGGGTGTCAGCCCCGTCCTGGCTCGGGGACCTCCCGTGGGACCACGGCTAGGGCAGGGTGGGGGGTAGGAGGAAGATGTGGGTTCGGGAGGAGAAACTTGCTCATGCCCCGTGTTAGGCTATAAAGTGACTCAGTCTAGAAGTCCTGTAATCGCCCTGTGTGTAAGGGTGGAGCGCGGGGCCCGGTGCGTGCCGCGGCGGGGCCGGACTCTGCCCCGGCAGCACGGCGGGCGCACGGCTCCGCTTAGTCCCGTAATTTCTGCGAGCAAAGGTACCTGCGGCGCTGGGAAACGAGAGCAGTGCTGGGCTCCCGGAGCCCCTCGCTGTACCTTCCTGTAAAATGGGAGCTAAAATAAGCATAGGGGGGTGGTGTAACCGGCAGCCCTGGCTTTTGCCGTGGGGATGGGTGAGGGGTGGTGGATGCCCAACCAGCCCTTGGTGCCTTCAGGGGTTGCTGCCCTGCCCGTGCCGCGGGGACACGCTGCGGGCTGAGCCCTCGCGATGCCTGAACCCCCCGGGACTGTTTAACCAGCGCTGGCTGGGAGCTGCTGAGATGGGATACTCTGCAAAGGGCCACCAAGCCCCTGGGGACAGGGGGCCCCCCCCCACTCCCTAGGCCACGAGGTCCTGGTGGCAGTGGGGGCATTGCTGGCCAGCCCCCCCGGAGTCACTGCACACATTTCCTTTGCGTGCTCGGCCAGCCCGCCTTCCTTCCTCCCGGGGGGGTAGCAAAATAAAATTCTCTTCATAGTGGGCAGAATTGAGGAAATACTTGGGAGCTAATTCCCGTGCAGTTTGTTTTCCCAAACATCTGAGGTCGCTGGCCAGAAATGCTCGGCAGCGGCCGGGGGGGCTCGGGGGCTCCCAGGGGAGCTGGCAGTTGCTCCAGCTGCTGACTGGGAACCGCTGCCAGCTCCTGGCTGGGGCTGGGAGCCGGGGGCAGCCGGGCTGTGGGCTGCCCCCCTTCCTTTGCTTCTTCCCTGTTGGGGGGACGCGGGGGGAGGTCACTGCTGATGCAGGGGCTGGGGAGCTGCTGCCGCCCCTGCCCCGGCGTTGGGGCATCCTCCACCCACCCGCTGCCTCTCTGGGGCTGTACAAGTGCACCCCAGCCCCACGGGTGCCCTGGGCCCGTTTCCCCTTTCTGGGGGGCAGGAAGCTTCTGCTGCGATGCCCGTGGTGCCGTGGGGGGCCAGGGCAGGCAGGGGGGAGGGCGGCCCCACAGCAGCCCCACATGCACAGATGCTCCCAGCCTCCTGAAACAGTCTAATCCTCCCCACAATGTGGCACAATCCCCTTCCTGGGGAGAGGGGGAGCCTGGCCGCAGAGCTCATTCATGTGACAAGCATGAGGAGGGGATCTGGGGCTCTGCCCGGGGAGTTCAGTCAGGTTTTTTTGGGAGATTTGGGTTCTGCTGAGTGTGCAGCTCCAGCCGAGCAGTCGGGGCTGCTGCTCTGCAAACAAGTGCTGCTGTTCCCAGCCCACAGCCCACGCTGCGATGCCCACGGCTGGCACTGCCCAGCTCGGCAGCGCTGCCCACCCTGGTGGGGCAGGGGCAAGGAGCAGCGGGGGGGTGGCCGGTGCCATCCACGGGGCCGCTGCCAGCCACCCCCTCCTCCCTGCAGGCGGGCGCGTGGGGATGACCCCAGCCCTGCAGTGCCCACTTCCACTCCCACGGAGGTTTTGAGATGAACCGTGGCTGCAGAGACCCTTCCCCTAGCATTACCCAAAGCCCACAGCTTGCAGCTGAGGAGCAGGAGGAACCCGCAGGAGGAGCTCCTGGCCCTCAGAGAAGCGTTCCTCCTCCTCCTCCTCATCCTGGGGCTGCTGCAGGATGGGGGGAGATGAGCAGGGCTGGGCAGGCGGCCCCAGCCGCAGCTGCGTGCTCAGCCTTTGCTGCTCTGGGCTCTGCGGGGAAGAGCAACAGCCCCCCTCACATATGAGCACTATGGGAGACAGATAATCAATGGCTACAAAATGATCATCAATTATTTTCACTGCGCTTTATATTCTGTTAATGAGAGCCCTTTGCCGGTGTCACGGGGCCATTGCCGGAGCGGTGAGCGATGCCCCACGGCTGCACGGTGACCGCAGGGCCCCGCGCACGCCCCGGGGTGGCTCCCGTGGGGCGGATGGGCTGTGTTCACTGCAAACACTGCCAAGGACAATTGCTGCTGCACTTTGCCCTGGCTTTTTCCCTGGGTGGACCCGAGACCTTTGCTCTGCTTCATGCAGAGAGCGGTGTCCTCGTGTTGCTGAGGTGCAGCCTTGGAGAACAGCCCCGAGGCCGGGGGGCACACGGTGCTGCCTGGGCAGGGGCTGGGACGCTGCAGGCGGGGTGCTCGGGGTGGCTCTGGGCCGAGGCAAAGGAGGTTTGTGTGAGGAGCTGGCTGGAGGCACGCGGTGGGCAGGCTGGTCCCATCTGCGCTGCCTGCTGTGACGGGGCACGGTGGGAAGAGGCTGGGCTGGCCCCACGATGGGCCCGGGCACATCCTGAGCACCCCAGACTTTCGGCGGTGCTGGCTGCTGGGAGCTGCGGCCGGCTTCCCCGGGTGCACGGGGACGAGCTGGTTTCCCCCGCTGTAAATCCGCAGAGCCTCCCGGGGCCGCGCTGCATCGCCTGCTCATCCCTCTTGGGCTGCCAGCATCTCCGCAGCGGCTTGTATTGCTGTGCTGCCCCATGACGTTTCTCTGTGGCTTGATATTAATTTAATTATTACTATTAATCACAAGAAGGGGCTGTGCTGGTGCCTTGCAGAGCCAGCCACCAAGATTTACAGCCAGAGTGGCCAGTTGCTGGTAGAATTAGGGCTGGGGCAAAGCATCAGTGACCCGTGCCCGGCACAGCTCGGGGCTCGGCTGCCTCGGGGCCACCGTCTGCCATGGCAAGGGCAAAGGCTCGGTGCCAGCCAGGCGCAGCACAAGCCCTGCTCCCCTGGGATGGATGCTGCTCCGTTTCATGTGCCCATTTCAGGACACGGCCCTGGAGACGGGGAGAAACACTTCTCGCATGAGAACTGGCAAAGTGTCAGCGCTGCAGCGGGCAGGAACGATCCCCACGCGTGGTGGGAGTGGGGGGTAGGGGCCGGGGTGGGTCCAGCGGCCCCAGAGCGGAGGGTGGGGGCTGTGGGGCTGGGGCCCCCCTGGCCCACGGAGGCCTCGGCAGCCGGTGCTTGGGGCAAGCAGGGGCCAGCCCAAGGAAGGGGCAAACCCACTGCCCAAATCGCAGCAGGGAGGTGGCCTCTGTGGGGCGAAGGGCCGCTGCACGGCGTGCAGGCAGCTCGCAGGCAGACAACTCACAGGCAGCTCCCAGGCAGCTCAGAGGCAGCTCAGAGGCAACAGGCAGGCAGGATGCAGGCAGCAGGCAGGCAGCTCACAGGCAGGCAGCTCACAGGCAGGATGCAGGCAGCAGGCAGCAGGCAGGCAAGATGCAGGCAGGCAGCAGGCAGGCAGGATTCAGGCAGCAGGCAGGCAGGATGCAGGCAGCAGGCAGGCAGCAGGCAGGCAGCAGGCAGGCAGGATTCAGGCAGCAGGCAGGATTCAGGCAGCAGGCAGGCAGGATTCAGGCAGCAGGCAGGCAGCTCACAGGCAGGATGCAGGCAGCAGGCAGGCAGCAGGCAGCTGGCAGACCCTTGCCTCGCCATGCACAGGCTGCACAGACTGTCTGGCGTTGGATCCAGCACCATGAGCACCCTCTCGTGGCACCACCCCCCCCCCCCCCCCGGCAGCACCCGTGCCCTGCAGCCCCACTGCACCCCGCAGCCCACGAGCAGCCCGGGGGGCCGGGCGCTGCACCCCGAGCAGCTCCCGCGGCTCCAAGGCTCCCACGGCGGTGGCTGGGGCGGTTTCTGCTGGTGGCGGGGGGCTCGGTGCGGGGGGGCCGGTGCGTTTGGGGGAGCGGTGGGAGCCGGGGGCTGCAGGCTGGGGTGCGGGCAGAGCTGCGCTGAGTTAACCCAGCCTGCCTGCACCTGCGATTCTGGGCATGGGAGCTGGGAGTAATTGCACTGGGAAAAGACTAACACTGAGTAAATCAAAACAGTATGATCCTGGCCACA